AGGGAGCCCGATGCGGGACTCGATCCCAGGACTCCAGGATCATGACCTGAGCCGAAGGCAGTCGCTTAACCAACTGAGCCACCCAGGCACCCTCTCACTTTTTATTTCTATTATGGTAAATATCAATGAATAGAACCCACCTAAACAAAAGCTCTTTGAGATCTTCATGGTTTCGTAAGAGCATAAAGGAGTCCTGAGACCAAACCTCTGAGAGCCAGACCGCCTTCTCCTATTCATCCTTATCTCCCTACTGTCAAGCATCACACCTGCTCTGTAACAGGTGCTCAGTGCTCCCTGACCTGAGCTGAACAGCGAACGGTGAAGGTCATCACAAATCATCGAAGGGAGAAGTGGGATTGAGACGAAAAACCTCACTGAAAGAAATGACTGAAGTGCTTCATGAACACTTACCTGGGTTGGAGGGTGGGGAACATGGACCAGAAATTCCCGATCCAATTACTCAAGCCAGAGACCCAGGATTTTTGTTCACTGTTTCCTCGCCTCCCCTCATCTCCTCAAACACCCAGTTTATCACCAAGCTCTGCTCCTTCGACCTGGGTCCACCCTCTCCCCTCAGCTCCTCTGCCACCACCCTATCCAGGCCACCACCCTTTCTCACCAGGCCCTCTGTGAAAGGTCCCAAGGAATCTATCTGTGTCCACTCTGGCCTGGTAAAAGCAAAGGCTCCACATTCCTTTCTTTAAACACTTCCAAAGTCTTAGATTTCTGAAACGCAAATCAAACCACAATGAGATAACACCTCATACCTATTAAGATGGCTGCCATCGAAAAACCATAAAATAACAAGTGTTCATGAGGATGTGGAGACACTGGAGCCCTTGTGCAACAGTGGTGGGAATGTCAAGTGGTGCAGCCACCATTTTAAACAGCTGGGTGGTTCTTCAAAAAATTAAAAATAGAATTACCATAGGATCCAGTAATTCCACTCCTAGGAAGTACCCAAGAGAAATGAAAGCAGGGACTTAAACAGCGAGCTGTTCACCCATGTTCACAGCAGCATTATTAGCAAGAGCAACCCAAGTGTCCATCAATGGATAAATGGATAAACAAAATGTGGCACATACACACAATGGAACAGTATTCAGCCTTAAAAAGGAAGGATGTTCTGACACGTGCTGCAACACAGATGAATCTTGAGGACACGAGGCTAAGTGAAATCAGCCAGTCAGAGAAAGAAAAGTACTGTATGATTCCATTTATATAAGGTACCCAGAGTAGTCAAATTCATAGAGACAGAAAGTAGAATAGCTGTTGCCAAGGGCTGGGGCAATTTTCAAAATCTAAGTATAAAATAAAATCCTAAGTGATAAGAAAGCATGTTATCCTACTTTCCCCTACAATCTATTCTCCACACAGCAATCACAGTAATTCTTTAAAAACACAAACCACCCTCCCCTGCTCAAACCATTCAATGGCTTCCCACTGCACTTGGACTAAAAACCAAGTCCTCACCGTGTCCTACGGAGCCACCGGCTGTCTCTCCAGGCTCCTGGTACGCCACGCTAGGCAGCAGCCACGCTGGCCCTCTGACACCTCCTAGAGCATCTTAAGCTCTAGCTTACCTTCAGCCACTTGCAATTCCTTAAGCCTAGAAGCAATTTTTCTAATTTTTGGCATGGCTGGTTCTTTCTCTTCTTTCCATTCTCAGCTGAAATATCACCTCCTTCTAGAGGACTTCCCTGATCACTTTATCTAGCACACACTCATTGATATTGTAGCCCTCCGATCACAGCTTCAAGCACTCTGCGTGGTCTGTAATTACATTACCTATTTCTTTTGTTTTTTTAAGATTTATTTACTTATTTTAGAGAGAGAGACCGCGAGCGTGCACGCCCATGCACCCACGAGCAGGGGGAGTGGCACAGGGAGAGGGACAAGCAGACTCTATGCTGAGGGCAGAGCCCCATGTGGGGCTCGATCCCACGAGCCCGAGATCATGACCTGAGCTGAAACCAAGAGTCCAATGCTTAACCAACTGAGCCACCCAGGCACCCCTGTCATTACATTATCCATTTCTTATTGTCTTGCTTACCATCTGTTTCCCTAGTAGAACGGAAGCTCGAAGAGAAAGCCACGGCTATGTTGCTTTCATTGGTGTTATCTCCAGCACTGAGGCACATAACAGCTCTGTACATACTGAACAACGGGAAAAAGTAATACAGGGAAGCAGGACAGGCG